TGCTGGTTTGTTTTTTTTTTTTTTTTTCCAACATCACCATAGAAATGGCTTGGACTTTGCTGGAGTCCAAACCATGGCTTTGGATGGTTGTATCTTGGTAGTTTCTCAGCAAATATAGGTAAGACCCTGCTGCCACACAAGCACTGACCAAAATTAAACAAAACTCTTGATCTGTCAAGAATGTTTCTATGTCTAAGGATGCAAGTGAAGAGGGTACTACTAACACTGAAGCACGAAGCCCCAGAAAGAGAACTGATTTGGGTAAAATTCCAATACAACCTTAGGGAGAAAGTTGTGGTGACTCTGGAAGGGAACACTATAATCGAGACAGATCTGCCACAACAGTTTGAACTTGGAATGTGGCAAGGGCAACCTCACAGACCAACCAGTGAATAGCAATGCCAAGTATCTGAAAGGGAGGATTCATGAGAATATACAGCATCGTGTTCAAATTACACTATGAAGCATCTCCAGCAGAAGTAAAAAAACTGGAGAAGTTCTCTGAGAAACCTGAAAGTGATCAAGTGTGAAAGTAGAGAAATGCAGCTGACTGCTGGTAAAATAGATTGAAAAGTGCCTTTTCCTTGAAGCTGGACAGAGACATACCTACCAGTACTGGGAAGAGATCAGGAGAGGAGTCTGGCAGACATCTGCATGCCATTAGAGGGACTGGAAGTCTGAGTCCAGGAGGGATTTGTTACATTGCACACAGCTTGCAGTGCGAGTTAACAAACTGTTTACAACTTCATCTGATGAAGAAACTGGTACTTGAGCTCTATCCATGTCAGAAGAAAGTAAAAAACATGAGTAGAGATTCAAACAAGAACAATAGCTTATTTAAAGGGATGAATTTATACCGGACAAACAACCAAGACAGCCTGCAAGTCTAAATTGCAATGAAGCCAAAGAACACACACACATTTCCAGATCATCCCATATCACCTTTGCCCTTACATACTTTAAGATACAGCCATCACCACAATGGAGATGCAGAGTAAGAACACCTATCTTCCCTGTGACATTGCCATTTATCACTGCTTCTTTTTCTCAGAAGAAGTAATAATCCAAAATAATACAACTAAGAGTCAGAGAGAGCTTGTGGGACAAGTGGGTTTTGTGGAGTATATGCTAGGCCACATCACCATATCAACGCTGTTGAGTTCCAGAGTGCTGAGTGTCTGTACAGGATCTGCAACCCCTCTTCATGGCAAATCTTGGTGTTGCTGGAGTTTGTCACCAAACTTTAGTTCCCTGAAAAGTTTCAGAAGCAGCATGAGAGATTCAGCAGCCTTAGCATCGCTGGTGCCAAGTATCAAGATAACTAGGGTAAGTGCCACTAGCCCTAAACTAAAATCCTATGACAGTGCTCGTGGAACTGGTGCCCCTAGGATGCAGCCTGTTGTGATAAGCAGAGAACTGCTGCAACGGATAAAGAAGAAAACAAATGCTTACAGTGCTTCATAATGAGCTTCAGTGGCTGAACTGGTTCAGAGGATGATCAAAACAGAAGCCTCTGTGGTAACCACAAGGATCTGAGAGGACTTGACTTTATCAGTCTGGAAGGGAGAAGACAGAGAGACTTTCTTGGGATGGATATCTTAGGAGGAGGCCAGCAGCAGATCAAAGCCAAAGCAGATTCAGCTAACTGCTCTCCAGACTGTGATACCCAAATGGGTACCGTCAGGGAAAGCTTTCATTGCCTTCACAAGGAGAAAGTTTTGGTTTTCGAAGACCACCATCCCTTCCAGCTTTTAAAGGACAACACACAGACCACTCATGAGAAACAAGATTTTCTTTGTTATGTCAACAACAATCAAAGTTGAAGAGATGCTAAGGTTCTCCTACTAAAAATTCACACTGGCAACTGAGCAATTACAAGAAGATGACATGATGGAAGAATTATCCACCTTACACAGCTGATGAGCAGGAAAAGAGTGGAGCTGATCCCTAAAGAACACATTTCTGGTCTCAACTTGCAGGTTACCTATCTGCAACCTGAATGTATTTGCGGACTATCACTCAAAATATATGTATATCTTCCAGTTGCAAATTCATACTAAGTAACTGAATTCTGCTAACTTCAACACGATGTCTGTTTCTTTACTGTCTTTGTGTTCAACAGAGATCTATTTCAATTTGCTCTTAATTGGATTATTACAGCTAATGGCAAAATGCGATGCCTAATATACATATCTTTTTGTAGTCAATTAAATTCATCTTAAATCCCACACATGTATAAAGTTTTGACTGACCAGTGTACAATACCAGTCAGCAAAGAACCCAGTATGATTGAACTTATGAAGAATTCCTCCCCACAAACACGCTACACCCTCTAACAGCTCCAGTACTGACAGGGCAGTATTTAATTTGCAATAAAAATATACAGCCATCTTAAGGTGAATTTGTATACACTGCATTGTGATTAAAATACTTTATGTGAGCGTGTTCACATTTTGTTTACTTGTTTAGCTCAAAATACACTTTCCTTTTTCTCAGTGGCCTTCAAACAAACATTTAATTTACTTCATATTACAGAAAATAATGAAAAAAAATAGACACTTAAGGAAGTGATAAAAATGGCAAAGGATGTTTCTTAGTTGAAAAGGTACAAAGTCACCATATTATCCCAGTCATTTCTGTATCAATTTTATATATAATTTTTTTTTCAACAACTAGTCCTACAAATTTAGATTAGGACACAAAAATTAAGCCATAATCTTTCTGCCTCCTGAACCCCCTGACAGGCATGTGCTATCATCATGCAAATCTTTGCAGCCCAATCCCCTTCAGAGCACAGTGGAGAAAGTTTCTTCCTTTGTGTGGGATCACAAAGATTGTATTGGTGCACAGCTGAGAAGAAAATCCTGAAAATAGAGGTCAGTTCATCTTCAGCTTAACAAGTCTATCCAAAAATAAATAAATCAACCCAGAGAAATGTTACTTCTTTAGGACCAACATCAACAAGAGCAGACAGTAATGCTTTACATACTGAGCTTTTATGTTTGGATGGCAATGCTGCTTTCCTATGGTACGCTAAACAAAATACATCACAAGTCTATTCAGTTGAAGGCCTAGCTTGTTGGAAAGTCTCTGTAAATGTTTAGAAGGCTTCTTTTATCCCCCAGCCACATATTTTTTTCTCCTTCACCTTTTTCACAAAGGCATAAAGCGACATCATAGTGTTAGTCCCCATTCAAGGCAGCCTGTATCAAATCTTCTTTCGAAAAATTAACTCAATCATGAGTCTGGAGAGAACAAAGCTGAGTGGGATATGGACAAGGTTTACGAAATCTCAAAAGCAGCTGGTAAGATGAATGTTGAGCTTTTATTTAACAAATCAGACAATGCTCGAACCAAAGGACACCTGTTAAAACTAGTAGGAAGTTGGGAGAAAAAAAAAGATATAATAATGTACTTAATGTGATTGGTAGTGAACTTCTGCAATTCATTGCCAGAGAATGCTGAAGGCAAACAACACTGAAAGAAAAGGATTCATGGTAACATGTCCTAAAAGGAGCCTTGGGAGGAAGGAAACAGATTGCACAAAGTGGCCAAGCTGAGGTGTTGTCCTCAATCTGTATGTCCTGAGCATAATGATGGGTCAGACGGGCCCCGCTGGGATCCATCCCCCCTGGGATTCTTCTGTTCTGTAATGTTCAGCAAGTTTTTAAATTCATTGTTTGAAAAGGTAAAATGCTTTGAGTCCAGGAGTGAGTATCAACAGTTTACAATGCTGTTCACAGATGTGTCAGAGCTCCGAAGGACAGGTCACTAACATGAGTGCAATGAGTATCTACTCAGAGCAAGACAAACCAGTGAAATGCGGGACTGACAGATGAAAGTACAGCATTCTGGACCCACCAGACTTAGAAAGGTGATGCTGTTGCTCCATGACACCAGGTCCGATCATCAGTGAAGCTGAAAATGTATTCCCAGTAGGCACAAACACAAAGAATACACATATGCACCACATTCACATGCATACACAGAATCACAGAATGGCCCAGGTTGGAATCATGATTCAAGGATCATGAACCTCCAACCCCTGCCACAGGCAGCGCCACCAACCTCCCCATTTAATAGTAGACCATTTGCCCAGGGTCCCATCCAACCTGGCCTTGACACACAGATTTGAGCCCCTGAGTTGCTTCCCTACATCCTCTCATGCGTCCCCTTTCAAGTACTACACTTTCAGTCCAAAAGGTGAGCTACTCCCTATGGCTCATGGTGATGGGTTTCACGTCTGGATGCTAGGGCTGTGGCTCTGCTGCAATGGCCCTGGGAGGGTACTGGACAGAGTCTGCTTTCTTCAAGTGTTTCACTGGGGTTCTCACCTGCCCTCATACCCCTGTGCTCCTCCGGGCTTGTGGAGATGAGTCTTCCATGGCTCTGCCCAGGGGAGCCTAGCCAGGGATTATTTGGTCTCTCCCTCCCCATGCTGCTTCTCTGCACTCGTTTGTGGGTGCACAAATGAGCTTTATCACACAAAACCTAACAGGTATTCCTGCATTCAGCCAGCCTTGAAATACAATGACTTTTCACCAGCTTTCTAAACCCTAACACACAGGCTTAATCTGTCACAGGTCAACTATTTCTTAAAATAGCCTATGAGGATCAATCTCCTTTCAGCATCTGTTAGAAATCATCACATATTGCTTGTCATAAACCAAATATGGTTATTAACAATTAGATAAATCATATTATGAACCAAACTGTTAGTACAAGGCTTTAGTCAATGAACTGTGCAGTTTCCAGTGCTATAGCTTCAGCAGCCTTATCTAGGTCAATACAGTTACTCAAGTGGTTAGAACAAAGCTTTTGTGTCTGCACAAAATTGGGGTGTTACAGATCGCAGCATCTGATCAGCAATACACATACCCTGGGCTTCATCCAATGCCCACAGCCCAGTGGAGCCCAGTTTCACTGATGCAGGAAAGCTTTACATCAGCCTGTAGAATCACAATGTGCTTTTTCTATTTCATTTTGATTTTGTTTATTACCTCTTTGTTGGTCTTCTTTTCCATTAAGTTGTTTTTGTGCTTCTTCAATTTTGTCTGCAAGAAAAAGAAGTAATTATTAAAATATATTAGAAAAGAAGCAAGTTTTGAGAAAGTCATTTACCAAAGTCTGTCTCAAACTAGCTGTTTATATTTAGGAATGACACCATTCACACGTAAATACGCAGTACATTATGAGTAATACTGTCATATAAAATTTCATCATGTTTTACCAGCAAGGCTATTGACATGTTAAATTACACGGAACTGCAGAGAGAAAAGCAATGGCATCAGATCTGCAGTCAACAGCTAATCCCTCTGTAGTTTCATGCCATCTGTAAGAATTTATGCAGTCAGGGGACTCTTCAGAATAGGTATTATCATGCATTACAGAGTATGTTAATATGCACACGGAGTATTTTAATACGATTGTGAGAAATGCTGTTAGAACAAGACAATGCAGCATTAAGCATGGTGATATAAACAGCAAATGGGATTTGATACACGAAGTGGCCACATGGGAGTGGTGGGGGGATGAGCAGCAGCCCAGCACTCATTCCTCTGCGAAACCACCCATCGTTCACGCGCACGCAGCAGGAGCAAAAAGCAGCCTCGAGCCTTTATGCTCACTGTTCTTAGCAAAACGCCTGCTGCCCCCAAACTCATCAGTGCAGGAGAAGGAATTGTGTTTCTGCTGTTGCCGCACAGCAGATCCTGCTGGGAGGAGCAGCGTCACACTGTGTATGCCTGTGCTTCTATGCGCAGAGAAAGAAGCAAGGAAAAGTGCAGCCGGAACGAGCGAAAAATTGGAGATCCATTCTTTTTGGTAGCACACCGCCCTCTGAGAAGCATCAGGAAAAAGAGGTCACGTCGATGAGGATGAGGAGCAGCAGCACTACGGTGTGACAGACCAGGACCTGAGCTTGGAACGTGGCTTTCACACATCACTGTTATCTCCAAAAATGCCTGTGAAATATTTTTTTTTGGGGGGGTTCCAGTTTTTATGAAATTAAGTGGAAAGAACAGAAGAGGACTGCAACCATCCTAAACTTCTCTGACAGTACTGCTCCAGTTCAGGAAACACTGGGCTTCCTGGCTGCCATAACCAAGAGATCAGGATGGCTCTGCACAGGCCTCACCTCTCTTCACCAGTGGGAGGGCTGCTATGTGATCGTCCCATTTACTCACCATTCCTATGTCATGCAAGGTTACAGCCCTTTCTTCGACAGACTTGAAATAAGTGGTTTTAAATGACTTCTCCAATATTTATGAGCTGAACCACTAAAGGAAGTTCGAACCACTTGTTTTCAGCCCCAAATTGTTTTCCCATTATATTACAAGCAGATCTAAAAAAAATTGTAACTAAATCAAACCCTTCTCAGAGGTTTTAAGACTGAGTTCAGCATGCTTCAGTTCCTCGTTTCTGCCTTTTAAATCTAGCTCCAGGTTCTTTTTCTCACTGAAGCTCAGCAACTTAACAAACTGACCCACACAAATGGCTACAGGGCAGACTCCCACAGCTATGAGCGAGCTGAGCTGCTGATAAGAAAGAAACCACCACAATTTTAAGAGCCAAACCTCCTCATTCCAGAGCTAGCAAAATGTACATACATAAAGCACAGCTTCTCCTATACACAGCTTCTGCTAAACCTATACACTGGCCACTGAACACAAACACGAGCAACTCAAGAAGAAAACAACCTTCTTCTGGCTCATTATCAACCTGGTTACACAGATATGCTTTAACCAATGAAGACTTCATGTTTATGGGCTTCCTGGATTAAAGAACAGCTAAAATACTGTATGAATCTATAATTTTATTATTTTATGTAGGCTGCTTCAGAAGTAATGCCTCCTATTCATTTCCATGGGAACTACAACAGAATACAAGGAGCACAATAACACTATTTGATAGAGCAAGTTCTCTGTTACAATAGTTTTCACCAGCTTGATAGTCACCAGCATGAGCTATGCATTTTCAGCAGTGATGAACAAGAGCTGCATACCGTGTTCTGGTATCTGAACCAGTGGAGATGACCCACTGCCTCCACTGCTGAAACACACCACCCACTGCCTCACGTTGCTCACATTCACTGTTTGGTCTCCATAACATTCACCAAGTACTGATAAAACAAACAAAGCATCTTTTATATATGTATGCCACTAACGCTTTACCAAAAAAAAAAACAAACAAAATGTGCAGACTGGTTATGGTTATCAAACTCATTTCCCCTGTTTAGAAATGTATGTAATGCACTAGGGAGCGCCCAGCTCTTGAGAAGACGTAAAAGATTTGTCACAAAAATTTATATGCAGCTACAAAGACAAATGCAATTTCATTATTAAAAGTATTATCAAGCATACCTCACATAAACGGTACCATAAATCCATGTGTTTAAATTCATAATCATTCTATTTTATACAGATAAAATTATTTACGTATTTTGGAAGCGTGCTACATTAGATTGCCAGGAAGATAAGTACTTTGAACTCCCCAAATGAATTATCTCTTATTTCAAAAAAGATGAAAAAAAGAGAAAGAGTTTGTATCAGAACTGCCGATAGCTTCTCTGTCAGATTCATTCCAAAGTACCACAGATAACCGAAACAATAACTAGGTAACCACATACTCTGTATCTGGCCAAAAAATCTCCTATACTTTGTGCATCTCCTCAAATGCCTTCCTCAATGAGTGACATCTATTGCATAGATGTTTTCCTACCTGTAGAAGCATCTTTGTGCAGCCATTACCTGCAAACAGCACTACACCCTTGACAGCCATCTGATAAGGGTCATGACCTTTCTTACCAAGGCACTGAGGCATGTTTCACAACTCAGCACTAAATTTATGTTGACAACCCACTACATTTTACAGCTCCAGACGCCATACTGGCGGCCGTCTCCTCAATGTGTGAGGGTTTAAGCTGAAAGAACTTACCCCGAAACACCAAGGAACTGGAAGAAAAGCACGCAGGTGAGCTAAATGAACTTCATTTGCTTTTTGCTAGGACAACAGAAAATAATACAACTAAGGGAAATTCTTGCTATGCTGCAGTTGCAGCTCCCTCTTTATTGCCCATACAATGACAGAACATCCCTGGAGGTGTTTGAGGCCAGGTTGGATGGGGCCCTGGGCAGCATCATCTGGTGGGTGGCAGCCCTGCCCATGGCAGGGGGCTGGAACTGGGTGATCTCTAAGGTCCCTTCCAATCCAGTCTATTCTGTGATCCTATGAACAGTGCTTCAGTGGACTGTGGGTTCTTGTAAGATACGTTCTAGTGCTGCCAGTAGATGTTCTGCTGGAGTGGCACACATCTAAAGCAAATGATGAGCATGTGACACACAAACTCTTATTTAAGGGAGAAGACACTTCTCAAGTGCTCACTAGAGAGGAAGGATAATGAAATCATCGTGCATTCGTGATGTGAAGGGATCGAAGATGCCACATCACATAACAATCATGGAGTCAGCTCTTGATTATCAGAGACAGGTGCATACCACAAAATAGTAAGCTGTAGGTAACACGGCATAACAGCAATGTATATAAAATACAATGACACAACGTGAGTACAAAGAGGAGAAAAGAAAAGCCAGTGAGCACCTATGAGATGTAGCAATTCCCAATTAAGCCTGGCTGTGGCTGCAGGTGTCCAAGAACTGCAGCACCACACCCAACACCCACTCCAGCTGTCTGTCTGTCTGTCCTGGCTGCATTCAGTCCATTCCCCTGCAGCAAGATAGTTCAAGTATCTGCACCAGCAGTACTATATTGCAGTCCAGTTGCCTGAGCTATGAATGCAACTTGCTCAGGACCATCACAGCGCCACCACCATCACGCTCCATCCAAACAAGATGACTTGTACTTCTCTTACAGCATTTGCAGCAAAGGAATGGTTTTTCCTTCTCTAGTTTTAAAGGCTTTCATGCTACTGTCCAACACATCCACCAGCAGATTTCTGCTGCATAGAATAAACAGTTAATTCCTTGGGGTTTTAAATATATGTAACCATATATAATGTAACCATGCTTTCTAGGAACTTGAGCAAGGAGGCTTACACACAGGAAAAGATGGTTGCTGATTTATATGTCTCCCGCTATGGAAGATCCTTAAGAGGATACCAATAGAGTGAGTTTGAGATGGTAGGGCTGTGATGGATGAAAAATAAAAGCAAAAATAAAACTTTCACCAGCTTTACGTTCTCTATTTGCAGTATTCACCGAGGACATAACCACATGGATTTAAATACATCACAAACAGGAGAATATAGTTTAAAAAGACTTTCAGATTTTTTCAAGACATCAACACCTACAAATACAAATGTGATTACACGTATTAAAATTTTCATTTCACACATGAAAAACTTTAAAGGCACTGTGGTCAGCGAAGAAAAATAAAGACAGGTTTGATAAATAAAGGTTTAGAAATTTCAGCAAGTAAAGCGAAACTACCGAAAAGCGTGAGGTTTGCAGAATACGAAACCAGTAACTTCTGTCAACAATTTAAGATGAAGCAAGTGCAATCTTTCATTTGTGGGTTTGATTATGGCTTTAGTTTTGTTGTTTTTAAACAAACAAACAAAGGAAACAATCCTACTTTTAAGCCACCAGGACATTTGACAAGGGAGTAGGAGGTGGTAAATATTCACTGGCATTCACATATAACCTACTTCTCTATGGGTAACTGGAGAATTAGCACTTAATATGGTGCAAATCCATACCAGAACTTAAAAATAAAAAAAAAACCTTTTTTGCCTAAAAGGTTGTTTTTGCTTATTCAAATATTTAACCAAAACAGCTGGAAGGAAAATGTCAGCATTTTTTTTTTCCCCTTCAGTTTAATGCAAGAAGAACTCTCAGACCTTACGCCTGAGTCATCCTAAAAATACCTCCAGCAAAACAACTTCAGATGACAAGTGGCTTCGTGCGACTTTCTAAAGAAAACCCACTCTCTCTTACCTTTCTCTGTCAGATGACATTTGAAACATAATGTTAAAAAACGCTTTGCATGTTTTTCAGTGGACACCACCGAAGATATAAAATCTTTTTTCTCTGTTGGA